CCTTATAAAAGAGTTTAAGCTCACGCTCGATATCAAGAGATGCTTCAACATATTGAAGAACCGTATATTTTTGTGATCGAAGATATTCAGCTATTTTATCTGAACACGTAGTTTTGCCAACGGCTATTGGTCCAGTAAAAATAATGATCTTTGGCTGTTCGGTTTTAGATTTCTTATTGTTGACAACTTTGATTTGTTCTGGATATTTACGTTTTAATCGTTTTAACGTTTCTTGTTCAATTTTTCTTCCATATTCAGGTTCAAACTCTTTTTCAACTTGAAGATTTGTCGTTTCATAATCATTTTGAAAAAGAGAACGTTCTTTTTGTGATGAAAAAGAGTCAGTTTTTTTATATCTATTATCATGTAAAATTTTTTTTAATTTATTCATATCTGATTCTAAATTTGCAAAATAAGTTACAATTTTCTTGTTCATGGTTGTTAAAAAAAAAAGATAGACATGTAATTAGAAAACTATTCGGTCAAAATTGACTGAATAGTTAATAAGGACTATAACGTTTCCTGATTACAATTTTTTTAATATAAACATTCTGACTTCTAACTTCATTATAAACAAAATTATCGGCCAAAAAATCAAAAAGTTCCAACTGAGGTTAATAAAAATCTTCTTTACAACATTCTTCTTTAATAATATTGCAAATCTCGGTTTCATTACAAATTTTAATAAATTGTTCAGATGAAGAAATCCATTTATTCGCTTTATGTGTAACAAAATTTTTTTTTCTCGTTATACACGATGAATCCAATTGGATTGGAGTAGCGAGAAATTGACGATTCAAAATCTTTCACAATATTAATAGTGATTGGAGATTCAACATTTTTGCATTGAATCAAAATAGTATGTTTCTTATATGTAGCGATAATATCAATACCACCATCGACCTGGTTCACTTTTATTTCGTTGGCCAAAATCATATTCGCTTCGAGCAATTTTCAAACCGCACCTTCAAATTCATGCCCGGATCTGTAATTAGAGATCTGAAATATGTAAAATAATATCAGCAAAAGATTCTTATTCACCAATGTTTGCAGAAGACCCAAGTTCTTTCAGTTTCTCCCAAATTAATAGAAATATTCATCATCATCAAAAGAGATGAATTCATAAATATTTCCTAATTCGGTATGGCAGCGTAACTTCAGAAACTCACATATGCTAAGTAAAATAACAGAGTTATTTTACCTTTTTTTCGGGTGTTTCGAGAGTAGTTGTCATGATTATATAATTAAAAATCTATTCAGTACTATTGTACAGAATAGATTAGATTTTATTAGATTACATAACCATTAAGATTTCCGGTCATCTTATCGTGAGCTAATTTAAATTCGATTGCTTGTTGTTTTGCTTGTTTATTGGTTCGTTTCTTGTTAACATAAAACCATTTTGTTTTATATTTTTATTATATTGAAAACCCCAACTTTTTCTTTTTTTATGATAATAAATTCCATTATACCCAGAAGAATTATTTTTAGATAATTTGCAATTTAACCTATTTTCTCTTGGTGTTGTTTCTCGAAGATTACACTCACGATTATCGAGCCCGTTGCGATTGATATGATCTATCATTTTCCATTCTGGATGAATAATTCTATGAAATAATTTCTTAATTTTTTGTATATTTGTTCTAATATAATAAGTATTTCTATGCTTATAAGAATACCACGTGTCAGATTAAAATTATTAATATCAGTTAAAAATGTCAAATCTGAGTTTGATGTTTTGACCTCTAAATAAAGTTTAAAATCGATCTTGATAAGACGATATTCATTCAATTTTCATTTTTGGTTATCGAGATTTTTATACTTTTCCCAAGAAATAGCAGTTTCAAAAGTTTTGAATTTTTTTTGCCAATTAGACATTTTTACACAAATAAAAATCTGTTCGGTATGTTAACATACAAAACAGATTTAATAAATTTATTAAAAAAAATAATAATATATATTAATAAATGAATTAAAATAATTAAAAATTATGCTTCAGAAGAAGAAGTGTCGATTGGAGATGTGTTGTCAATTCCATTTAGAACAACAAGTTCAGATGATTTTACTTTATCAGAAATTTCTTCAGAATGAGAAATTTTACGTTTTTTTCGATTGATATTTCTAAATTTTTTATTTATGATTTCGATTATAGGTTGAAGAAAGAGAGATAAAGTATCGGTTAATTTATATTTAGAAAGATCCTTCAGATCTACAAAAATCTATTCGTCGTGTTTATCAGGTTCAGTTCAAATTGGAATCTGATCATCAATATAGGTATAGTATACTGCGCATCGACATAGACATTCTTTTCCATCCGGAAAAACTCTAAACCTTTCATTTATTCTAACATAAAATAATTCTCCTATTGTTATTCCAGTTTCTTCCTCCATTTCACGTCTCACACATTCATCATATGTTTCATCTCTTTTTTTTCCACCTGTTGGTACATGAAAATATTCAAAATAATCTTTATTAGGATTAATTCTTTTGCTAATAGGAATTTGCTTTTTTGAAGTTATTGGAACAATCAAAGAAAATTCTCGACTATCAATCTCGTAAGTTGTAATCATTTCTTTATATTTTTTTTTCAAATTTGATTGAATAACAAGTTGAGTTTCAATTGCATTTTTCGTTTCTTTAACGGGAATGCCATATTTTTCCACCAAGGTAAGATGAGATAAAGTTACAAGATATTTTTCTTCAAGCTCGCAAGCAATCGAATAATTACTAAAAAGTAATCTATATTCTGATTCCATTTTACAAAAAAAAAAAAGATGAACAGAAAATTTTCTGTTCAGTATATTTATACTGAACAGAATAAAAAATAATGATGTTATACAAAAAAAAATAAAAATAAAAATAATTAAAATATTTAAATAATAAATTCGTTGTCACTATCGTCCATTCGCAATTCATTATCAGACCAAAAGATATATTCATTTTCAACAGATCCAGATTGGGATGAGATGTATTTTGAAGAATAATTTTTAATCACATCGTCAAAAATTCCTTTGTTTTTAAGAGATTTTTGAGATCCTTCAGTTATTGAAGATAATGTTACAGATTCGTTAGATTCGGAATCAAAATCATCATCATTGATAGATTTTTTACAGCGTTTACAAAATTTTATCTTTCGAAAATGATTACAATACGAGCAGTAATATAGAACAGGCGCAGAAGATGATCTAAAATATGGACGTATTTCGGAATAATTTATCCGATTTTTAATACGTAAACTTTTACGAATTAAGATGGATTTATTTTTTATTGAGATTTGTGTTGTTGAGAAATTATATTGATATCGCGGATGTTTTATTTGTTGAAGATTATTTCGAATTTGCTTCATTTTGTTTTTTACACAGTTAAATTTCTGATCGGTACAAATGTACTAATCAGAAATATTTATTTAATAAAAATATGAAAAATAATTGATGAATTCAAAAAAAAAAGATAATATAAAATATGAAAATAATTGATAAATTTAAAAAAAAAAAGATAAATAATTTATTTTATTTTATTTTCTTTTTTTTGTTACTTTTCATTTTTCTCTCATAACGCTCTAACTTATCAAGAGCAATTTTTGCACCAAATTTAGGACCTTGCAATATAGTAGTTCGCCATTCTTGGATTTCATCAAACGATTCATGATCTTTTTCTTTAGGTAGAATTCTTTCGATACGAGAAAACATAGTTTTTCTCGCTTTGTAATAATTTTTTAAATCTTCTATAAATTTTTCACGATCTATAAGAAGAGGAAACGCCTCAACATATGCATCTTCATCAACCTCAGAATTAAGTTGCCAATTTGTCAATTCGAGATAATAATTGTAATCTTTTTTAATCGTTATTATTGCTGTAGAAAGGTCTTCAGTTTGATCTAATGTTCGTTTGACTGGAACAGAAATAGAAGTAGAAGTAGACATATTTAAAAGATGTTATATAGTTAAATTTCTGATTGGTGCAAAAGCACTAATCAGAATATTGGTTTAATAAAAATGATAATAAAAATAACATGAAAACGAAAAAAAATTTTAAACATCTTTTTAAAGAATTTTTCTTTTTGATTATTTGTAAAATTTTTTCTATAACTTCGAAAGTTTCAAGATCCGACGTGTTAATTTCTTTTGAAACCTTTTTTGAACAATTGATTAAAGGTTTAGAAACAATATCACGTGTGATGATATCATTAAAAATATTTTGAGAATTTTCGTCAACTAATTGCGTCACACGTCGACCAAGACGCGTCTCAAAATCAGCCGATAACAAAATTTTAAATTCTGCATCAGGAAAAATATTGGTTGACACATCTCATCCAACTACAACAAATCCTTTTTTTTCGTTAATTTCTTGATTTCTTGATTAATTAACGATCATATTTCTTCATCTTTTGAAAGTTCAGACGCCTTTTGAGAAATATCAAGTGAAGAAAATGCACTTAAGTTGGAACAGTTAATTAGAGTATCGTAAGTATGTTTATTAAAATTTGTAGAATTAATATTGTAGTAAGCAAAATAAACCAGAATCGATAAAATTAAAATTTAATCGTTTTGCTAAAGAATAGCCAATAGAAGTTTTTCTAGAGGCGGTCAGACCGTCAATAGCAATATTGAATGTCATCATTATTGAATAAATAATAAACTAATCAGTCATTTGTTTGACGGATTAGAAAAATATATATTTATTCAGGAATTTCATAAATTGTTGGTAAAATATGCTTTCGATATAATAAAGTAGAAAAATAGAACAAAAGTTGAATTTTTTCACAGAATCAATTCGTGTCAAATTAATATTTTGCTTTTTTAGATTATAATGACTCAAAATTTTTCGTAAATGAATAAAATATTTTTCGTTAACTTTTGCGCTAATTCAAAATTATTAGGATTTTTTATGAATACAAAATCATAATCATTTACCAAAACGCATAAGCATAAAGAAGACATTTTCGGATTTATTTTTCCGATTGGTGCAAATGGCACTAATCGGATATATATTTATTTATATATTAAAAAAAATAATAATAATATAGAATAGAAAATTAACAACATTTAACAGAAAAATTTTGAACATCTTGTTCATTTTTAAATAAC